GAACAGCGAGACTCTCGTCTATGACCCTACTATGAACGGGGGGACCTCGCTACCTGGGCCACTTCATCAACCAGTGCAGCGACTTCCAGGAACATCCGACGTCTCCTGCTACAGGCGACATCAGTTACCCGCCACTGGTGAAGATATTCAAGGTTTCGCCGTTTTTTGGCTACTCATCGCACGAAACGTCGGCGTGCCGCTTGGCTCCCTGAAGAAGTTGCAGTGCAGACCTACTGCGGCGACGTCGTCATAATATACTCCATATGCCTCGTTAGCCTTCCGCGCGAGACTTTTCATTAGGCCCTATGAGGACTACCTGGTCTCAACCGGGGGGGGGCGACCTACGACGTAACCGGTTGCCCTCCCCCCCCGCGGCCCGCGGCGACCTCCCCCGCCCCTTGTTCCTCCTCCCGACGCTCGGGCGACGCGCGGCGCCCCTCCCCCCCTTCCTCGTCGTCTGTGGCTTACCTGCCCCGACGGGGCGTGGCGGAGGAGGTCGTGTTTTACGTGGCCTCGTGAGCCGGTGCCGCGTGCCCTGGCTGCCCCTCGGGCGCGCGCGCGGCCAGGCGCGGATCGACCCGTGCGTCGGCGCAGTCGCGGCAGGAGGAAGAGGAGGGGGAGGAGGAGGAGGAGGAGGAGGAGGCGAGTGGGGGGGTCGACGCTTGTCCGCCTCGAAGGGGGGGCGCGGGACGCTCGTGGAGGAGGCTTCCGTTGTTTCTAGGAGGTCTTCTCGCCTCAGGGGCGCGTCTTTCGTTGGTCGCCGAGCGCATTTCACTGCTCGCATAGTGCCTGTTCGCAACCGTCCGATCTAAAACAGGTATTCCTCGACGTGTCGCGCAGTGGAGGCCCATGCTATATAAGAGACGCCCTGATTGCCTCCAGCGTGCCCTGGGTTTCTTGTGTTTGTGCTGCCGCGGAAGGCGACGTTCCCGCGCCAAACGCCAGAAATCCATGGGCCCTTGCGGAAGGTTTCTCGTGGGCTGGCCTCCGCGGCGAATCCCCCCCCCGGCGGATCCAGGCCATTTGCGAGCAGTTCCTTTGCGAATAATGGAGCGCGCTTGCCCACTTGACGGCGGGGGGATTGGCTCCCAGAGGAAGCCCCGCTTGTTTCTTGGAGGTTTTCTCTAGCCCGCGGGGCGCTCTCCAGCAGCTGCGCCTCGTCGATCGTTTTTGCCGTGGATGCCCGGATCGTTCCGCGCGGCCGCTGGAAACCCGAGTTGACGCTGACGCTATGGCCCGGAGAGGCCATCGCGTTAACTCGGGGAGGTGGGTGAGGACTTGGTGTGTGTGTGTGCTTGTGTGCGTATGTGCGTGTGACTGTGTGTGTGTGCATGCCACCACCCACCATACCAACCCAACCCAACCCGAAGGCCCAGCTTTATCTTCCGTTTTCAGTGGTGGGGTGGTGAGGAATCACTGCAAAAACAAATGTGGAAACCGTACCCCCCCAACCCAAAACTTGGGTAACCGGGTTAGGCTGGGGTGGTCAAGTAGGTCGTTCGTGTGTGTGTGTGTGTGTGTGCGTGTGTGTGCGTGTGTGCGTGTGTGCGTGTGTGTGTGTGTGTGTGTGTGTGTGTGTGTTTGTGTGTTTGTGTGTATGTGTGTTTGTGTGTTTGTATGTTTGTGTGTTTGTGTGTTTATGTGTTTGTGTGGTTGTATGGTTGTGTGTTTGTGTGTTTGTGTGTTTGTGTGTTCGTGTGTTCGTGTGTTCGTGTGTTTGTGTGTTTGTGTGTTTGCGTGTTTGTGTGTTTGTGTGTTTGTGTGTTTGTGTGTTTGTGTGTTTGTGTGTTTGTGTGCTTGTGTGCTTGTGTGTTTCTGTGTTTGTGTGTTTGTGTGTTTGTGTGTGTTTGTGTGTTTGTGTGTGTGTGTGTGTTTGTGTGTGTGTGTGTATGTGTGTGTGCGTTTTCGTTTTTTGTGTTTGTTTGTTTGTTGGTTTGTTTGTGTCTGTGTGTGCGTGTGTGTGTGTGTGTGTGTGTGTGTGTGTGTGTGTGTGTTGCGTGTGCGTGCTCGTGTGCGCGTGCGTGTGGTATGCTTGTGGGTATGTGTGTGTGTGTGTGTGTGTGTGCGTGTGTTTGTGTGTGGTGTGTGTGTGTGTGTGTGTGCGTGTGCGTGTATGCGTGTGCGTGTGCGTGTGCGTGCGTGCGTTGCGTGTTGCCATACAGCGGTCCAGTCCCTGTTGCCAATTTCCGCTGGAGCAGCCACCTTCCTGTCCAGCCGCAGCACAAAACGTGCGCGCCAACGAGGGCGTGTGCGTGTGTGCGTGGTTGCGTGCGTGTGTATAATCGATGTTGTGGGATATATATATATATATATATATATATATATATATATATGCGTGTGTGTGTGTGTGTGTGTGTGTGTGTGTGTTTGTGCGCCCGCCGGCGTGCGTGGATACAATGGCTGAGGCCGCGATTCTCCCAGATCCCATCCCCCTCAGTCCCCCTTCCTTTTTCAATCCGCTGGCGGCGCCCCCTCGGCCGCGGAGGTGCCTCGGGCCATGATACGCTCCTTTTTTGGCGCACCCGATTCCGGGGGGGGGGGGGGGCTCGTTCGTCGTCGTCGTCGTCGTCGTCGTCGTTCGGGAGTCGTTGAATGTGTCAGTGGTCCTAGGTGTCCCCAGCTTTTCGCTCCATGCTGGAGCCCCTGCCCTGGGGCACTCTGGGCCCTGAGAGGGGTACTCTAGGAGACTGCGAGCCTCCCTGGACATCCTGGGGGCCTTTGGGCCAGGGACACTTCCTGCCGACACCTGGGTCTCTTCCTCGCCCCCGCCGCCGCCACCGTCTTTGTCGTCGTCTTCGTCGTCGCCGCGGCCTCCTACGGAAGAGCGTACTTGGCCACTTTGCCCACCTTCACGGCCCGCTCGGCGTCTCTCTTCGGGGAGGGAGGGGAGGAGGAGTTGGAGGAGGAGGAGGCGGAGGAGGAGGAGGCGGAGGAGGAGGATGAGGAGGAGGAGATTGAAGAAGAGGGCGGAGGTTTCGTGACGCTGTCGGCCAGGCCTGTTGAGACCTCCAGGGACCACTGGAGGCGTCCAGGGAGCACTGGAGGTTCCCCAGGGCAGGGTTCATGTCGACCCCTCCGGC